AACTTTGTTTTTCGGCCACACACACGTTGCAAAGTTTCGGGAATGACATCCGCATATTTATGCAGGATTTGCTCTCGAAGTAGTAGTGATTGACATGTGATAACCATAGCAATAGATGGGTCAAAATATGTGAAAATGTGCATTAAGACTAGAGCTCCTTAAGCACTTAACTAAAATAAGTATTAAATAATTAAATAAATAACTAGAGAAGGCTGACTATAACCAGTTTGCTTCCATTTAGTAAGAAAAGCCTAGGCTACTCTTCACCTGAATTAGAAAAAAAAACTCTTCTGGTCTTCAGTCATGTGAGGACAACGTTTGAGCGTGTACACGCAATATCTGCGCGAGAGCAGAGCCAATTCATAAAAAAACAATGTGTATTTAAAAGCGCACGTTCAGTTTTGTATGAGTGAAGGAAATCCGCTTGCGAGTGGAAAGGTATATTCACTCGAAAAGCTCGCGCATCTGCGCCGCCGCGCGCTCAATCCACTCAGCGTGCTTTGCTTATCAGCTCGCGCACATCAGCTATACAGTAAATACTGAATGTTTAACATTATATTCATTGCATACATATACTTCGTAGACATCCTTAATCTCTAATAACTCCATTCTGCTGTCTGTTGTTCTGTTGTCGGTGTTTCATTGTCTGAATATGGCACTTAACACATGCTGTGTGGTATCGGCGTTTGGTATCGGGGCATTTTAACGAGTACGAGTACGAGTACGAGTACAGGAGCTCAGTATTGGTATCTGATCACTTAGTAAAGTAGAAGCACACCTCTCCTTAAAAAGACGTATGATTTGGGAGATGCACTAAACCTACAAAAATACAGAAGACACGTCTGCCCACAGAACTACTGTTTGTTTATCCTCTGGTGATCATGAAAGTCAAAGAGCCTCTCGTCTTTGTGTTCGCAATAATCCTTTTGTACATTCAAGGTTGTTTAGCATTATAACAGAACTATATTTAATATGCGAATGACCGGCAGGATGAAGGATTCTCTCTCAGAGGACTTGAGGAATCTCCACATCTGCATCACATGGCTGTTGCTGAGAGACTTTCAAGGTGAAGGATGTAATTTCTGCACAACTAGTGGCACCAAACAGAACTGCACAAATAATGACTGTCTTCAAACAGGTTTGCAAAACACTCCTCGTGCTTCCTGCCTGCCTCTGATCTCTGATCAGATAAACAAGTAGTCCAGAAACAAAATCATTTACTGTGTATTCATGCATTTGGCAGATGATTTCATCAAAAGTGACTTTTTTTTTCAGTTTTTCAGTCAGTTTTGGGAGTTAATTTTTAGTCCATCTCGAGATTTTATCTGTAGAAGATAACCTGCTTAATAATTATGCGCACCTGTATATAAAGCGTTTTTCACTTCCAGCCTTCATTAACAATAATATATAGGTTATAAGTGATTAAATACAAGATTAATAGTAGTTATTAAGATTAATGTTGTTTGGAATGGGTAAAATGTGCTTGGAAAAAAATATAATCAGAATATCAACTTGCATAATAATTATGCATGCACTGTATTTTCCATCTTCCGCTGTCATCAGCAATGCAAGGAATGTTGTGATTGGTTGTCAAGGCAGCCAATCAGAATTTAGCAGCCTTGTCTCTGATTGGCTGGAATTATGGCATATTGTAACGCTGGGTTGTGTTGAGCAAGCAAGCCGTGGCATTTAGAGAGCACTGAGGGCGGGCATCAGGTGAGCAAGCTAGTGAAACTTTGCACCCGCAAAAGAGAAGGTCTGCACACATCCAAAAACTTATTTTAAATGCAAAATTGATTTTAGTGCGCTCAAAATACTTTTTTCTTTGCGAAAGGAACATTTTCTCCACAAAACTCAGATCGCGCGCATGCAAAATGCACTTTTGTGCGCTCAAAATATTATATTTTGCGTGCAGAATTGTGGCAGAGATCTAACCCTATATCATTCATGCATGCCAAAGAGTCATGTGTGTTTGAATTACAATTTGGGTAGGATTAGAGTGTTTCACAGTGCACATTTACTCATTTCAGATTACAGCCGAGAATAAAGAAGGACATTCAGCTGTCCTTAAACATGAAGCTACTACTAAATGTAAGAACAACCTTTTCTTAGCCCAGCTACAGGAGATATTTGCTCTTTCAATTAAGTACTATATTTTTTACATGTTAAATGCATCATCTTTCTCAAAGTGCTTTAAAGGTGCGCTCAGTAATTTATTTATTTATTTTATTTCTTTGTTTTACAGTAGTCAATATATACATCAAACATAAAATGATGGCCCTGTATTTGAATGTTGAGCAGCAAGCTTATTAGCTGCACTGTGTAGATAACCATGTGATTACTAGCAGGTTAAGTTAAGGACCTATCAGCCCACGCCATTTGTGACCCTTCGAAATTGAGATTTATACATCTTCTGAAAGCTGAATAAATAAGCTTTCCGTTGATGTATGGTTTGGTAGGATAGGACAATATTTGGCTGAGATGCAACTATTTGAAAATCTGGAATCTGAGGGTACAAAAAAATCAAAATATTGAGAAAATCGCCTTTAAAGTTGTCCAAATTAAGTTCTTAGCAATGCATATTACCAATCAAAAATTAAGTTTTAATATATTTACAGTAGGAAATTTACCAAATATTTTCATGAAACATGATCTTTACTTAATATTCTAATGATTTTTGGCATAAAAGAAAAATCAATAATTTTGACCCATACAATGTAGCTATATATGTAGCTATTGCTACAAATATACCCCAGCGACTTAAGGCTGGTTTTGTGCTCCAGGGTCACATATAGAGTTTCATGACAGTACTTTGTTTGTATCCTGCAAGTGAAAGTGTTCAGAAACATGGGGGTTGCCAAAATAAGTCTTTGGCTGATCATGTGATCTCAACATTACTGAAAAAAATTGTGAAGCTACTGATATTACTAGATCTAATCTCATGTGAGTGTACATGATTCTAAACATATTCACTTCTTTGTGCAAAACTTTTTATTGAGGAAACAATTGCTGATTGCACCTTTAAATACTGTAAGCCGTTTATTCAGCCTAGTTTAATCTGTAAATATGTTCCTTTCTTAGACAATGACAAGGCTGTCATTGGATTCTTGGCATTTCTAATCATTGTGACATCAGTTGCGCTCCTCTTCGTGCTGTTCAAAATTTACCTTCTCAAAAGAAAGCGGTCAGTGTCACAGTTTCTCCCAGCTGCCCTCTGAACTCTGTTATCACAATGTTTTCTGTAACTGTTCATCTATGTTTCTGATGGGCTTTCTCACCACAGGACTGCTGAAGATGAAGAGATTCTTCTTACACGTATGTTATTCGCTCCTATCAGTCAATTCAGTGTATTTCGAAGGTAAATTGCTTTCAGAAGAACTATCTGATGTTTCATGTCCTCCTCCAGCAGAACCCCTGCGCAGAGTTGAGCCCATCTATGCTGACGGTTTAGTGGAGGCTTACAAGAGCAAGATCGCTGATGAGGCCCGTCTGTTTATGGATGAGTTTCAGGTGATTCTCTATACCATAAATCTGCAGAAGCTACACTTACACTTAATATAATGAGAAATACATTCAGATTCTGCTTCTCCTCAGAGCATTCCCCGAATTTTCTCCAATTACACCATCAAAGAAGCGAAGAAACCAGAAAACCAGTTCAAGAACCGCTACGTTGACATTCTGCCCTGTAAATATCACTCCAGTTTCCATAAAGAAATCAGTTTACCCACAATTCCTTGTGTAGTTTTCATATTTCAATCAGAGAATTGATCGTTTTGTGCATGAATTTGCAGATGACTATAATCGGGTAACTCTCTCAACTGGAGGTGAAGAGAGCTACATCAATGCCAGCTTTATCGAGGTACTGGTCATATATGCTCTATATATCATGCTTGTTTACCTCAGTTCATTTGAATATAATTTTATTCAAATTAATTGAGGTACTTTTTAATATAATTTTAATTGTAATATACTTGACTTAAAATTTATTATTTTTCAATTAAATAATATAATTATATTAAATTATTTTGTACAATTATTTTTCATTTCAAAACATCAGAAACACTTTTTTTTTTTTTTTTTACATGTACGCTTTTACCCATACAGGGATATCAAGAGCCAAAGAAATACATTGCAGCCCAAGGTAAAAATCCTCTGGATGGTTATGATTCTAAATTGTGATTGGCTAAGCCACATTTAAAGCGGCCAATGAATGCACACTTTGACCCCACATTCTATCTTACTGTTGCCTGACAACCATAAAATGCGGCAGAATTGTTTACACCAACAATTAAGTTTATTAAAAGTGAGAATGAACTGAGTTTTGAAGTTTAAACAATGGCTAGATTTCAATTTGTTTGTTGGCTGTGTTTTCCAGGACCCAAGGATGAGACTATTGGTGATTTCTGGCGAATGGTTTGGGAGCAAAAGTCATCCATTATTGTCATGGTCACCCGTTGTGAGGAAGGAAACAAGGTAAGTGGTTGTGTTTGGTCCAGTGTTGTCCTAGAATTATTTATATATTATTATAGTATTTATTTATTATAGTGTTTATTTATTTATTCAGCTTTTTTAGTTTTCAGTTTAATTTTATTTTAAGTTTTAGTAATTTTGTTATGTGCATTTGTCATTTTTATTAGTTTTTTTGGGAACTATTTTTTAATTAAGCTTTAAAATATTTTAATTAAGCTTTATTTTATTTTATTTGTAGTAATTTTAGTATTACTTCAACCTTAACTTATTTTATTTTGTGATTGATTTTCTGATCAACATTGTTGAAATAATCAATCTTCCTCATTGTGAATTATTTCCACTGAGTGTTGCTGTTTGTCCTCTCAGATCAAATGCGCTCAGTACTGGCCATCTCTGGACAGAGAGACTGAGATTTTTGAAGATTTTGTGGTGAAAATCCGATCTGAGGAACACTGCCCTGATTATATAATTCGCCATCTGATCCTGACCAATGTAAGTGTGTGTGGTCTGCTCTTTCTTATGTGCTTCATTCAGACGGTTTTAACTCTGTGTGTGTGTGTGTGTGTGTGTGTGTGTACAGAAGCGAGAGAAGGCCTCAGAAAGAGAGGTCACTCATATCCAGTTCATCAGCTGGCCTGACCATGGTGTGCCTGGAGACCCCTGCCTGCTTCTGAAGCTCAGGAGAAGAGTCAACTCCTTCAAGAACTTCTTCAGTGGCCCGGTGGTGGTCCACTGCAGGTAAGACAGGACCGTAGAGATTATTATATACATTTGGTATCAGAAAAGGTATCAGAAAGGGTCTAAAGGGTCATTTGGAGTGGATAAAGCTTAATGTGAATGTTGTCGTATCCTCTATAGTGCAGGGGTCGGCCGCACAGGAACATATATTGGCATTGATGCAATGATTGAATCTGTTGAGGCAGAAGGCAGAGTGGACATCTATGGATTCGTAGCAAAACAACGTCGCCAGCGTTGCCTCATGGTTCAAGTGGAGGTGATTTTATTCACTGATTTATTGGTTATAAATTTGGTATGTCGCACCAAATTTAAAGTAGGTATTATTAAAATGCCCAATTTGGTCTAGATGTTATACTCTAATCATTTTCAAAATATTTCATATATAATTAATGATGCAAATAATTCTGTTAACAATTTCAATATTTAATTATTTAATTTTGAGTCATTTGTTTAATTAAAAATAAAATAATATTTTTGCTAAATATGCAAAAATAATATTTTAATTTATATTTAAAATGTACAAATGTACATTTTAATAGAATACTATTTGAACATTGATATATATATATATATATATTTATTTTTTTTTTGACAAAAATCTGACTAAAAATTCTATTGTAACACCCTTTATTTTACATTTGATGGATGTGTTTATGCATATTTAACTGTGTGTGTGTGTTGTTGATTGTGAAAGGCCCAGTACATACTGATCCACACTGCTCTGATTGAACACAACCAGTTTGGAGAGACAGAGGTCTCACTGTCTGAATTCCACTCAGTGCTCAACACCCTCAGACAGAAAGATGGCAGTGACCCCAGTTTGCTTGAAATGGAGTTCCTGGTTTGTCCTCCATCTTTGATTTTCAGCTGATTGCTTATTAGGACACTGAAGTTTTCCTGTACTATGTGTATCTGACTATTAATGCAGCATGTTTTCCTATTGCTTTCCTTTATAAAGAAACTCCCTAAATTTAAAAAATGGAGAACATTTAACACGGGAAGCATAGAGGACAACAAGAAGAAAAACCGCGACTCAGCTGTTATCCCATGTCGGTGACCAACACCAACTTTATTAATCTGCAGATCTTGGTTTCAAATTCATGCTACAGAACTATACTGTATATAATATACAGACACACAATTATATATTCATTATAAATAAGCATCAAATGAGTTACCAGTGAGCATTTCTGTTCCAGACGACTTTAATCGAGTCCTGTTTAGACTTGACATTGAGGGAAACCAGACCAGTGACCCTGAGGATGAGGACGAGTATTCATCAGACGAGGAAGAAGAATCAAACGAATACATCAACGCCTCATTCATTAATGTACAAAACTTGATTCTCTTGAATTGTTTTTTTTTTTATTACAGTTATTATATCTCCTTCATTAGAGTGAAGGAGAAATTGTTTCATTGTCATGAAAATAATGTAAAAAAAAATCCTAAAATAAGCTTTACAAGCAAGTGATAGGAATATGTAAATCTCAATCAAATATGCTTGTTATTGCTTTTTAACAGGGCTACTGGTGTAGTAAGAGTCTGATCGCAGCACAGGGGCCTTTACCAAACACAACGGAAGAGTTCCTGCTCATGCTGGACCAGCAACAAACTAAAACACTGGTCATGCTCACAGACTGCCAAGAGGATGGCAAGGTACAACCTCCCACAATAACAGAGAGAGAGAGAGAGAGAGAGAGAGACAGACAGACAGACAGACAGACAGACAGAGAGAGCAGAGACAGACAGACAGACAGACAGAGAGAGAGCAGAGACAGACAGACAGACAGACAGACAGACAGAGACAAATGTATAATTTTTGTCATGCCAATAAAGCACTCTTAAATTGAAATTGAAATTGAAATAGAGAGAGAGAGCGATAGATAGATAGATAGATAGATAGATAGATAGATAGATAGACAGACAGAGGGATAGACGGAGGGATAGAAAGGAGGTTTAGGTGGGATAGGAACAAGAGGACTGAGGGATAGATAGAAAGACATGCAGACAGACAGGCAGGAAAATTGGATAGACAAACAGAGGGATAGATTGACAGACTGAAGGATAGATAAGACAGATAGAAACAGAAGACGGATAGACAGACAGGCAGGCAGGCAGGCAGACGAAGGGATAGAGATAGATAGACAGACAGAGCAATCAACTGAGCTCAGTTGTTCAGGCCATATCTGTATTTTTTCAGGATTATTGTTGTCAGTATTGGGGAGATGAAAAGAAAACGTTCGGAGACATGGAAATTGAGGTAAAAAAGACAGAAACCTTCCCAACGTACGTGAGACGGCGTCTAGAAATACAGTCCTCAAAGGTAACCAGAGTCCTTCTCCTCAGCGTGAATATCTTTGAATTGAATATCATTAACAGCAGACATGTTTTCTGAGACATATGAATCCATCTTGAATCCTGTAACAGAAGAAAGAGATCTTGGAGGTGGATCAGTACCAGTTCCTGAAATGGAAAGGCCGTGAGCTTCCAGAGAACGCTCAGGAGTTGATAGAGATGACAAGGATCATCAGAGAGAACGGCAATTATGACAACAGCAAAATGAACCGGAATGTCCCCATAGTGGTGCACTGCAAGTAAGTCCATCAACACCAGTTTTCTTTCCCTGATGAAGATGGGTGGATTTTTAAACATCCGCAAACTTTAATTTCAGCAATGGCTCATCTCGTACCGGAATCTTCTGTGCCTTATGGAATCTCTTGGACAGTGCCTACACAGAGAAGCTGGTGGACGTCTTCCAAGAGGTCAAAAACTTGCGCAAGGAGAGGCAGGGGATGGTGGAAACAATAGTAAGTTATTGCTTTGCTTATAAAAACAATAGACCTTAGTCAGGTTAGATGCCAGGGGCGTAGTTTCCACTGGAGACAGAGGGGACATGTCCCCCCCCCCACTTTTCAAAATCCCATTTGTGTCCCACCCTCACTTTCAAATTCGTTTGTTATGATTTTTTTAACCGCACGCCGTCATCGCCACGGAGGAGCAGGACCGAACAGGACACAGACACGCTGTGTCGTTGACCGAGCTAACGTTAACATACACTGTTGCTAGGTAACTTCAGGCTGTTGTTAGCTAAATATTTAATGTAGAACAGTGGTTCCAAAACTATGGTACGTGAGGCAACAAAATGCTGAGTTTTGCGGTGTTTTGTGAACGAATCTGTGGCTTTGAACGAATCGTTCGTGAAAGTAATTGATTCAATGATTCATACATAAATACAGTCACTTGCTTAGTTACTGAATGAATGAATGACTCGATGACTCACGCATTAAGACAGTGACTTACCGCCACCTACTGGTGGTTTTAGTATTTAAAATACTAAATTTAAAATACTACATTTAAATTTAGTATTTAAAAGAATCACTTTTCACTTTTTTTATCATCATTGCATATTGCAGGTACAGCGGTTAGTTTGAAATAAAAGTTCGTTTAACAATGGAAATTGAGTCTCACATTATTTAAATTTTATTCACATACAAAACATTAATGGTGAACATTTTTGACTTTATAAAATGTTTCTCTCAAGTCTTGGCGATCGGCTCCTATTAAACAAAAAAGAAAGTAAGACATCTTTTTCTTATACATAGTTAAGTAACAGAATTCCAATCATTATAATCAACTCAATTATTTCCTGGATTTTGTATCACCATAGTCCCTAAATGTATGTAAATGCAGGAAATGGGATTCAAATCGAAAACATTTTCCCCATTTTGTGTCCCCCCCACTTCTCAAACCAAAGTGACACCCTTGTTAGATGCCATATTGAATTTAACAAGGTTGTAAGGGATAGATTTGTAGTTTTACAATGGCACACACATTTACAATGGTAAATCTTCACAACCCACAACTTTCAAAACTGTTTTTTTTTTTTTTTGTTAGTTTTTGGGTTGAAAAATCGGTATGTTATTAACAGTACAATCCACTTAGCTCACTGTACTTCTATCCCTCACAGCCTCGTTTTCATTCCTGTCAAAAATTAAATATGGTGCTACCCTGTAAAAAGTAAAAAAATATATAATCATGGCTTTATATCTTACAATCACTGTATCTTACAAAAAAAAACTTTATTTCTTCTAATTGTGATTTTATTTTTCATAAATGGGATGAAAGTCCCATTTTTTCTTACATCAAAAATGTGTTTATCTCACAATTACCTTTTCTTACACTGATACAGAAACGGACTGTGAAGCTTTGTGCGTAAAAGTGGTTTTAAGGAAGTTTTAACAATTCAAGTCAAGTCACCTTTATTTATATAGCGCTTTTAACAATACAGATTGTGTCAAAGCAACTGAACAGCATTAATTAGGAAAATAGTGTGTCAATAATGCAAAATGACAATAGTAAACACTCATTTTTCAGTTAAAGACAGTTCATCATTCAATTCAGTGATGTCATCATCCAGCTCAGTTCAGTTTAAATAGTATCTTTGCAATCATTTGCAATCAAGTCAACGATATCGCTGGAAATTAAGTGTCCCCAACTAAGCAAGCCAGAGGCGACAGCGGCAAGGAACCAAAACTCCATCGGTGACAGAATGGAGAAAAAACCTTGGGAGAAACCAGGCTCAGTCGGGGGGCCAGTTCTCCTCTGACCAGACGAACCAGCAGTTCAATTCCAGGCTGCAGCAATGTCACATTGTACAGAGGACTCGTCTGGTTCCTGTGGTCTTGTCCGAGACTTGTCCGGTCGTCTGAGACAAGGTCTTTACAGGGGATCTGTATCTGGGGCTCATCTAGTTGTCCTGGTCTCC